GGTTTGTAATAATTAGTTTATCTTTTGTGGTGTAGTATATGTAACAGATCATACAATTCTGATTAAAGAAGACAGATATATCAGAGATCCAAATTGTGTCAAGAATGTTGTTGGCTCAAAGATCTGACCCACCAATAATCTAACCGAGTGCGCAATTAAGCATACGGCTATGCATCTGCTCATCGTTGATTCAGTCATCACTGGTATTAACACGTAAAAGAAACGAGTAAACAACTTGTAGCGTGAGATTCCGAAACAATAACAAACTTGTTTAGATCGATTTGATACTATGCATTAAGAACATTTTTTTAAGGTCTGACCTTTAAGAGCCATGGAATTTGATGTTAAGACTAGTATATCTACAATGAAGATCACTGACATTGGGAACTCCCATACCTGTAATAACCAAGATTCGGCATTTTTAGCGGAAGAGACATAATAATACCAGGTTTATCGATCCATCATGCATTTTGGTACTTCGATATTAGGACTTTAGTGCGAGGTAAAGCTACAACATACCAGCATAGCTAGCAGAAATATCTTGAAGTAACTCGAGATCAAAATCCCTAGAAGAATCTCCCTTCTTCTGCAGATTTTCAACAAAATCATTCAGAAATCAATGCTCAGAGGAATCTCATACAGAATTGCAAGTATGAATCTTTGGTGAAAAACTCGTAATAATAAGAAGAACAGTCACCTGGAAACTTCATTCAGCAGACCCTTAGCCGCGATGGCAAAAGAGAAGATAAATGCAGCGTTTGAAGATATGACTCCGATTAGAACCTGTTACACGCAAAGTAGTGTCATATTCTTCCTTTTTCAACTATCTCAATGAACCACACACATAAACCTCAAGAGAAAAAAAATTGTTGTATAAGTCTGCTTAAAGCTTAAAAAGGTTTAACCTTTACAGATATAAGAACCAAGCTCGATTCGTCATGAGTTCTCCTCAGTAGCAAGCTTCTATCTTTGATGAGGTTTAAGGCTTTTCAAATGAATTTTTCTGTATAAAACTACCACTAACTACATAGACTTTGATTAGCATAAAAAGCATGAAAGAAAAGGATACAAGTGTCTAGAACAAGAAACGCAAAGACTAACTTCCACAACAGATGCTGCAAAAATTGAGGATAAACAAACAATTCTTCTTCGATCAGTAACAAATACGGATTCATAAATCCACTTCTCACCAAACTTGTAAATTAACTTATTGCTAGGAAAATTTGGAATCAAGAACTTGAATCAACCCAATAATAATTTTACCTGAATGTTCACAGTTTCTTGATTAATTGCATTGTAGAGAACGTGCCTATATACCTTAGGTCTGTGAAGAATTAAATCAATGAAAATAATCTGCAAAAGAATCAAATTAGATTTCTAAACTATAGCCAAAAGTCTAAAAATCAAAATTGGAAAGAAACAAAAAACACCAAAAATGGAAACTTTAGTGATTGAAATTGAAACAGACCATGCGTTCACACTCGATATACTCGTCCGCTACTTCCTTGCAATTTCCCTAAATAAACAAAATATCTGATCTTAAAAGTAGGATTGATAAAGATGGAAACTTTGAGAAATTACGGGAAAAATAATYTAAAAAGACCCTAATCAAATTTTTGATCGTAAAGCTTACACATTTCATGAGACGAATGTTTCCAGGAGAATATTGAATGAACAAAGACTTAACCCTAAACCCACATCCCACGCATCTGTATTCACTCGCCATTGCTCTTGA